TTACTGTACTATTTTTTTCAAAATCTGGTAGATTTAATAAGAAAACTGATAAAACGGACGGAGGACAACCTTGCGAAGCGTCTATTTTGATGCAAAGTTAGCGCTACATGTGCACGATCAGCAAGAAAAAAAACGAATGATAGAGACGAAGCGTTCAACCAGATGTCAAAACAGTTGACCGACACTCACCGACACACAGGGGCTAGAGGTAGTGCTCGGTGTCGGTGACCGCTGGACGGTGACCAGCGCCATCCCGCCTAAACCCGTCCTCGGTCACCTGGAAGCGTAAGAAGCCTGAATACCGGACATTTTCAGAAAATATAAACTACAGTTAGCGATCGAGGTTAAGTCTGGTCGCTGCTAGTACCCGGCGTAATAAAGTTAGACAGAGTGATTAGCGACATCCGGCAAAAGAGGTGTCTTTGTCAAACTGTGTTTTCACTGACTGATGTTTCAATGAAATCATCCGACTGTGATATTTTTTATGGAATTCATGAACGTTTTTATTTATGTAATCAATGTGTTCTATATCTAATGAAGTGCATACGAACGACTTCTTCGTTTTTATTTTACTGTGTATCCGTGTAGAGAAGGTAAACTTTTACTTTGAAAAAAAAATCCACCACCCTTTTCCACCGCTGTATACACCTCCAAGTGGCTTGATGTTTTTTTCTGGGCTCCGCAGCTGTTGTTGTGCGCATGCGTTGAAGTGGCCAGCTGTCAAAAAGGGCGTGAAGGCCGTGTGTTTAAACTTAAATTTAGGGACAAGTGTCTCCGCCCGAATCAATGAAGTAATAACATTTGTATAAGAACGGTGTTCAACCATAGGGTTGAAGTGTTTTTGCGTGACAGGAGACATGTAGGATCATGAATTATTCATGTATGGTCATGTCTGTTCTGTAACAGCAGCAGAAGATGTCCTGAGTCATACAATCTCCTGGGAAATGGTATGCGGGTGTGAGGTTATGTTAATGATTGTCAAAATCAAAGCTAAAACATATATACCGATTGTCATATGGACTCTATGCAGATGAACTGAGTGAAAATTGGCCGTTTAATTGGAAAAAAGACATTAAAACAGATGTGCTTGAAAAAAAAGGAGTGTCAGAATGATTGAGGATATTCCACATGCGTCATTATAATGAGTGCGAGAGCTCAAGCATAAAGGCCATCTTTGGCCTTCCTCACACTGGTGCACTCAGTATGCAAACCATGTGAGAGCCACATTCCGACTCTTTGGAAGACAAATGAGCGGCAAAATGAAGGTGACGATGGACGAGGGCTGGACGTAGATGCTTTGCACACTGTATGCTACTAAGAAGGCGCTCAGCAGGAATGAAAGTGTGCTGTAGAAAACAAGATTAGGATTAGAGCGCAGGTTAATTCTACTTCAGAACTTTATCGCGACACCACAGAAGGTATACACGAAATTAAATCTAAATCTAATTAAATCTCTGCTTGGCATTAGAGATTGCATCAGATTAAATGTGTGTGTCCCAGTAAGAAGGAGTGTGTTAATGCTTGTTGGTATATAAGTATAGTAAAAGAGAGCACAATGACTAGCACATATTTTTCAGACAAGTCTAGTGACACACCAAAGAATAAATGATGTAGTCAAACCCCTTGAAGGGTTTCAGACAACAAATTGTAAGCCCTGTTGTCAGTGTCACATCCTGATCTCTGATCTCATTTCTGCACGGAGCTTCAGTACTCCCCAGTGGTTAGCGTTGGACAAAACAGCTCGCTTGTATTGCAACAGCTTCTTTTTGTACCAATAGGGGGAGACGCAATCCCATTCTCATCATGTTTTGACTGAAAAGGTGATTGAAAATGTACACTACAAAACTTTCTCCTGATGATGTCTGACTGTCTGTCTGTTGTTTGATTTGGTGAGAACAAATTTTGAATATAGTTTTTAAAATCAGAGATGCAAGTAAACTTTTCAAGATATGTATATATATTTTTTTCCGAATCAGCTTCACACTAAGTCCATTTGTGAATAAATTGAGATGCAGTCATATGCACTCTGTGATATTTTTGTATTTTTGTTTGTTGGTGTAGATGTTGCTTGATGTGAGAGTGTGTATTAGCAGTTATGAGCGGTCAGGGGAGAATTTATCTTTTTTTAATGGTCATGTTATTCGAAAATATTGATTCAAAACTGCTTCAAACTGATATATGAGGCACAGTGACATGATATTGTATTTTTGTATAATATTGATGGGGTTGTAAAATTGTGATGTGATAGTGTTGCTATTAAAGAGTTGGATTAAGTCAAGTAAATTTGAAAGCCTAGGTATTAAATTAATGTCCCACTACTAAGAGGAGACCCACATCCTATCTCTGTCTCAACATTCTTCACTGTGTTTGTCCAGTCCAGTATAGATGAATACACATTGAACAGTATGTGTCATTGTGGTTAACTTCTTTTTACACCTGCAAGACATCGAGGAATTTCACATAAAATCGTCTGTTGGCTCAAAACCAATTTTATGATGACGAAATTTAGGGTAAGAGGTTTTGTACAACCTGGCGCGAGTTTGGACAGAGCAGACACATCTCAATCAAGCCATTTACACAAATGTATACCTATCAAAAATTTTATAATAATTGTATGTCAAAGTCCAAATTATTTTCTGCACTGTGCTGCCGATATGAATTACATTTGAAATGAAATGTTATACGTTGCCTTTTTTAACTTTTTCCCTGTAAAGCGAGGATGAAGTGTTGATCTGTTGCTTCTGTTTTTATTTGAAGAACAATGAAAGTATCCAAGAAACCAAGTGTGTGTATGTGTGTGTGTGTGTGTGTGTGTGTGTGTGTGTGTGTGTGTGTGTGTGTGTTTTGCAGAAGGCCTCTTCTGCAAAGATAAGATGGTATTCTCTCCTCTTGCAAAATGAGTTCATTAGAGAAGTGAAAGACGGCCGTTGCAGGGATTCAGTGTTTCTGTATGATAAAGGACTGGAGCAACCGATTGGAGGCGGGAAAAAAAAGATTTTCATTTCCTGTTCTTCAGAGACAGCGGCGGTATCAGAGCATCAGCAGAGTGCCTCGGCCGTGGAAAGAAATGGAGAGCGTCTGAGAGGACAGGCGGGGCAAGTTAGAGAGGTAAATGCCAGGGTTTTATATCCTCGCCCTAAAAAGTCCCCCTTCAGATAGAGACCGAGAGGAGTTGGACAGAATGAGTGAAAAGATATGTCAAACCGAACTGCTCTGTGGAAACAAGTCAATCAAAGTGAGCCACTTGGGTCATCTCGGCGCAGGAGGCCAAACCTAGCCAATCGAAATGGCAGAGGTTGAAAAGTGGCTCTACCATCATTAAGAAAGAAATGGACTATGAAATGGGGGGGGATGAAATGAACCGCAGGTCCTTGATAGACACCTGATAGCGAGGCAGGGTGGTAGGGAGATGCTGAGATGACAGGTACAGCTGAGGAGGACGGATACTCTGTCTCCGCTCCACTGTTTAATATAGATCTGCAGCGATTAGACGGGCCCGAGAACACAGGACCTGCCCGTCAGTCAGTGGAAGGGAGCTCAGAGGAAATTGCCACAATAAAAGGCATACAAATAGTAGAAACACACACAAACCTGTGCATTTATGTGTGTGTGTGTGTGTGTGTGTGTGTGTGTGTGTGTGTGTGTGTGTGTGTGTGTGTGTGTGTGTGTGTGAGTGTGTGTGGACACAATGAAAGTGTGAACCTTACGTTAAATCAGTACACACTAAGGCAGTAATGACCTCCTGTACTGAGCAAGCTTCTGATGTGCACAAAAGGCTTTGTTGTCAACTCCCAACACATGCGACAACACCGATACTAATCATACTTTTGCGGCACTTTCATTCTGTTTGTCTTCTGCATGTTAAACCAAAAATGTTTGCTAACACATTAGCTTGTGTCGAGAATTGAAAATCTTCAACCTTTATTCGCTTGCAAGAAACACTGAACACAAGCACAATGGTTGGTGATCCAAAATGCTATTATAATAGTGATATTAATTGTTATCTCTGTTCTGCGGTATACTGAATGCATGTTTTAGTGGGCAAGACAAGTACAGGTAGACCATTGACTTGTTTTTGACAACAGGCATGTACACAAATTCACATCACACCCTAGTGGTGCCCTTCTACACACACTTGGGGACAGAATTATCCCGACCCATGAAATTTTCATTTTTTCCGCCCCCTCAAAGTATTTCCTAAATTAGTCAGAGAGAACAATGCATTTTCAACACAGCTTTCCCAAGCATCCTACTTTCATTTTGGAAACTTAGATTTTTTTTTTTTTTGCACAGTTATTTCACACAAACAACAAAAATTACCAGTCAAAATTAGGAGCACAACCAGTGCTAATCGGCGAGCGTGTGTCCTTTTTGTTGGTTAGCAGCCTGCAATTTTTGTTATAGCGTTCCGCAAGTCTCACACATATCTCCTGAGCACTCCCAGCCCATTCTTTTAAAAATCTCTCAAGCTACCCCAGATTTGCCGGTCATTCGCCATGGACCTTGGTCTTCAATTCTCCCCCATATGATTCAAGTCGGGGCTTTGTGCAGACCATTAGATAACATTCACTTCGGCCTTCTGGAGGTCGTTCTTCACCCAGAGTGATCGATGTCATTATCATGTCGGAAGAGTGTTGACCTCGACCCAGTTTGCTGCTGACTGTTTGAGGTTTTCCTACAAGATCTTCTAATATCCTTCTTTCTTCAGGATTCCTTTCACCTTCACAAGATTGCGGTGGGCATCAAACCCAGAAGGCCAAAGGGAATGTTTTGAATGAATCCCATTGAGAATCTAACGAATATGACGTGGTTCGCTAGATCATAGTGAGCTCCTTTTCAAATATTTTGGTCACTCGCTCAATGAAAAGGTGTGTGTGTGCGTGACTGTGCGTGTGTGTGTATATATATTTGTGCCCAAAATATTTCAAGTGATTTATCTCCACAGTGCTTACAACAAAGCATTGATGCAGCTATACAAATGGAAAAAAAGAAGACAACACTTTTTTTTTCTCCATATATCTTTATTATCTGATGCTTCTCATATTCTCATATATTTCAATAGCTTTATTCTATCCAGGTAGGGTTGTCAATACAGTCTTTTTGAAGACGTAGTACATAGATCTATAAGCTTGAGAGGTACTAGAGGGAGTTTACATCCTTCATGAGATAATTTGGCAATTGACAACAACAAGAGACCATATTGTGCATACACACGTTTTCTCTCTCTCTCTCTCACACACACACACACCTTGAGTACATTATACACACACATCACAGCATGCACACATAAAGGCTGACCATCCCAACTTACTCATAGCCTCGCACACGCATCAGCACATGCTCACTCGAATCCAAACATCCACATTCAAACCTCCATGAGGGGCAGGAAACAAATTTCCACAGGGTAGCTTACACTAAGTATCACACTGACAAGGAAATACACATGTGGATGTACAGTACTTACCATATTTGAAGTCTTAAGTCTAGATTTCTCTCACTCGCTTGTCTTTTTGGTAGTAAGGAAAGAGATGGTAAGTCGACTTTAAGATGATGACCTTGTTGATGGTATTAAGTCCATATTTGGTTTCTATTACTGACGGCTCTGCAACATTACTACAAGCTCAGGAGGTGACTGAATAAGAATGATTAGTGTGTAACATTAAGATTATATGAACATATGGAAGGTTCAAGTGACAGAACGCAGAAAGTTGATAAAATGCACGTTTCATTTTGCACAGATGGAAGGAAAACACATTTCATCTGAATGTTTATGGGCCATTGTAACAGTCTTTCTGTCACACACACACATATGAACGCGTGCAGGTCACACACTCACACGCACACGCACACGCACACGCACACACAATGCCACAGAGTGTAGAACTCTTCGCAAATCTGTCCTTGTAATCTAACATTGATGGAACAACAATACTGTCACATCGCATGACATATGAGCCGAGAAAACGTCATATATTTGGCGTCGATGATGTAAGAGAGAAAATACCTGAATTTTGCTACATATTAGAATGCATAACTTATGTGTACTGTATGTTATTAAAATGATACAATGAGAGTGGAGGAAGAGATGGTCAAACACGTGAGCACCATCGAATTGAAACGATCAGTGCAGATGTACAATTTAAATGCAAGCCAATAACTGTACAAAATAGGCGTCACCTGATGAAAAAGGAAGTGATGCGCATGAGAGAAATGGAAGGTGCATGTAAAACATGTTCACCGACCGAGCCGACCTGCAGTCAACCAAACGAAATAAGATTGATGTAACCTGTCTTCACCCACATGAAACCGACCAACAGTCCCAGATTTGAGCTTCACAATGAAAAAAAAAAAAAGAGGCAAATGTGGTGAAAGGTAGCCTCCGTGTTTTGTACTGTTGTAAGGGATCCAGAAGAGGGCGCTTTAAGTAAAGCTTGAAGTGGCACAGGAGGATCAGGTCAGACTGCATTGGTGACAATGAAGCCTCTGTGTTGGTCATTGCTGGGCTCCGGAGTGATGCTCTTTGATAAACGCTGCGAAGAAGAAATATAGAAGTACATTGCAAATTACAATTTCGAATTTCAAAGATACTGAGTCAGTCAATCGACAGCCCATGCCGAATAACGTAGCAGTTATCTGTTCTCTTACAATCCCGTCTTTTGAGAAAAAATATGTCTGGGATAAATGATTATATTTCCAAAACATTGGAGTTAATTAAAGTGGATGCTGAAAAGAAGAAGTTAGGATGTCATTGGCAGACATACACATCACTAGCGTAATGTCCGATCAGATTGCTCTGATGTCATCGCTATTTCCAGAATATCCAGGGTATAAGCAGCTCTACGTCGCGATGTATATCGACCAGTTCTTCGGCATTTTACTTTAAGTAGGAATTTTGAAATTGTTGAGAAACACTAGCCTGAAATTTGAATTATTCTCATACATTAGCCTAAAATTAAGGGGGGAAAAATAACGTCTGTCATTGCCATGCCGATCATTTTCCCAAACCCAAAACAGATTCTGAATCAGTTTTTCTACCACATCACAAAGGAGTTCACTTGATTAGGAAATTTCAAACTGTACGTCATCAACGAAAAGCCAGCTAGGAAGAAAAATGTACTTAACCTTTGACCCTGCTAACGCTTATCTATCCCCAGGACTTCCATGTGTTTGTCCTGTACAAAAATAGATGTTTACACTGCGCCATGCTGACAGCGTGTGTCAGTGTCATTGCACGCCTCGGCAGTTGTGTCAATACAGGACAATGCGGCCGTACTACAGCTTATCACAATGTTATAATGATATTGTTGATGATGAGAGGAACGTTTTTTTGTTGTTCTCATCACGACACGGTGGCAGGTGTGTGATTGCACAAAGCAGCGAACAAGCATTCAATCGGCCCGAATGAAAGGACTTCTCACTTTCCAGTCAGTGTAGTCACGTGATAGTCTACCTGCATTCCACGTGTGTGTGTGTGTGTGTGTGTGTGTGTGTGTGTGTGTATGTGTGTGTGTGTGTAGTTTGTGTAGCTTGAATTACTGTTTTTTTTTTTTCCGAGTGAAACTGTTTCCTATACTTTTTCTTTTGGTGCTAACTTGTAGTAGTGTCACATTAGAGCTTGGCCTTAAATGTGCATGAGAAACTGTGAGAAGACTAGCGAGATGCTTCCTGGAAAGATCAGAGGAAGACAGGTCATTTTGGCTCATTCACCAAGTCTGAAGGACCAAAATGACCCCCCGTCCCAAAAAGTATGTGCGGTAAGAGCGTACCTGTTTGAAGGTGCCCTTGGCATTGATTAGGTGGTAGACCATGTAAGCAGGCACACAGATTAATGATGACACCCCGATACTGTAGCCAAGGGCCGTGGTCCAAGGTGGATACTGGTAGTCGAACAACTTGACCTCAGGCGGGAAGGCCAGGAAGCTGATGATGATGAACTGTAAATAGAAACAAGTTGAAAACTGTGTGTGTGTGTGTGTGTGTGTGTGTGTGTGTGTGTGTGTGTGTGTGTGTGTGTGTGTGTGTGTGTGTGTGTGTGTGTGTGTGTGTGGACAAACATTTGTTTATATAGTTATGTCATGGGGATCTCATGCAGTGTGGGGATGAAAAACAATGCGAATACAGGAGCTATTAAAGATTGAGGGAGCATTGATATCGGAGTGTCTCACCAGGAGAAAGACGGGGCAGATGGCGACCCAGCAGATCCTCCAAAAGCATCCCGGGTAGAAACCGAGCATAACCTGGATGTCGTTGCAGAATCGAGTGGTGCCTGAAATACACACACGTCACCTTAATCTTTGGTGTCGAAAATCATTTGGGATGAAATAGCGTTCAAATGTTATCTATTCATTTTCTTGATGTAAGAAGGGGCAAAACTCACCGTAGAACCAAGAAACCGCGACGACTTCAAGCAGTACCACGGTGATGACCGCGGGGCCCGTGGCATACTCCTCAAACAACTTCACCACAAAAGCTCCGCCCTGATCCAAGAAGAAAAATTCGAGTCTCAGAAAAATCCCTTTTCTAATCACTTCTTTTGTAACAGGCCTTGTCCGCACACGATGATGTTCGCATGCTGCGTGTGTAGAGCGTAGCCCTTAATTACTCCAGTTCCTTACCTTAATTGAGGCCTGGAGATAAAGGAATTACTACTTTAATCTGATTTGCATGTCATTGTAAACTGCAGCTAATTACGTTAGCTAAATGAAGCAGCAACACACAATGAAGCATATTTGCAGTATATTCTTAGAAATGATTCCAAATATTCGGAAATTGGGGAAAAATGCCAAGGAATGGATTGAACTGAGGACTATAGTAGTCGTTGATAAATCATTGCATCATCGGAGGATTTCCCAGTTAGGAGGCAAATATGTACAAGCAACCTTAGGACTGCAAACAGTACAGTATGACATTGGAGCAATTTCATGGGATGCTTCGTTCGTTCTTTGAGACAATATTGTAACGCGCCTTTCAAAAATCTGAAAACTTTTTTAGGATAAGAAAATAAAAGCGAACCCACTGATGCACGAGCGCACGAATGCTGCTGGCTTGAAGTTCTGTTATTTTCAGATTAACTTGTACATATTGTCGTTGAGTTGATGTGACTTACATATGTGAGGGTGGAGAGTGCCCCGAGGTAGCAGACGCAAACCAGGCCAAAGACAAACTGCTCTCGTCTCTTAACCAGGACATCGGGGAACTCATCAAGCATAGCGGTGACGACTCCCTCCAAACCGGCAAACTAGAAGAGGGAACAAGATACGAGCAGATAAGAACCGTTCATTTCCACCGTTATAATATTTTCATCCATCGATCCTTCCTTCTGTTTTTCATACCACTGGTCCTCACTTGGGGCGCCGGGGCCTATCCCAGCTGATTTGGGGAAAGAGGTGGCATACATTCAGGATTGGTTGCCACATAAGACAACCATGCACACTCGCATTAACACCTACAAACAATTTAGAGCAGGGGTCACCAACTCGGGTCTTCGATGACCCCTATCCTCCATGTTTTAGATGTCTCCCTCCTCCAACACGACTGATTTAAATGATCAGCTAATCAGCAAACTGCAGAAGTCTGATAACGATCCTGATCAATCCTGCATCTAAAGCATGCAGGATAGTGGCCCTCGAGGACCGCAGTTGGTGAACAATATTTAGCAGAATAGGATGTTTCCCTCGTTAAATTTCAAGCACAAGATGCCTAAAAGAAAGAAAAATGGCATGGGCGACTCAAGGCGAGACGGTATACATGACACAAAGCAACAGATTGTGCAGTAATATCCTCAGTCATGAAAAAAAGGAGCAAAGCATGCCTGATGTTGATTCTACACTGATTATCAGTATGCAATAAGCACTTCGCAGGTCTCTACAGCTGGCTGCTTGGGCACGGATGAACACTGGCTTATTGGGAAAAGATCACTGCGCTGATATAAGGGCACGGTCGTGTTATTTTGTCGCAAAAGTGAGCATGAGTGTGCCCAAACAAGTCATTGAGAAGACAGCTCAGGGCTGTGCTAATATGAAATGCGATATGTGGTGTTAGAGGGGAGCAACAAGTGGCATAGAACATTGATTCATGAGCACAATGAGTTAAACTTACTGTGCTATCCAGACCCAACATAATGATCATGAGGAAGAAGATTATGGCAAAGAAGGTTGCAGCTGGCATATTTGCAATGGCCTCTGCATAAATGATGAAAAGCAGACTGGGTCCTAGAGAAAAGAAAAAAAAAACAAGCAGGTTAAAAGGAGATGGCTACTATGTGTAGCGTTCGGAAAATGATGCTAAGACCTTAGGCGAAATGACTTCAGGGAACAAAAATGCAGGTCATTGTGAGAAGGGATTTGTTTTCAACAATGTGATATTGAATGGAAATAGTCATTGTAGTTTCTTACCAGCATCCTTGGCAACAGCATCCACATCCTGCTGCCTCATCTCAGCCATGTAGCCCAGGACAGTAAAAATCACAAAGCCGGACAGAAAGCTGGTGAGGCAGTTCACTGAACTGGTGACCAAAGCATCTCTGAAAGGGACAGAAAAGAGACGCGTGAATGTGTGAGAAATTTGGGGTCTGGGGTCTTTTGTTGTGTGACTCATGAGTCTAAACTGTAGAATGTTATTGTGACTTTTGGCTTGTCCCTATGAGGCGCTTTCTACTGAACTCACTTGTAGCAGTTGTTGTGAAATGGGTTGTAGCTGGCAAAGGCAAGGAGAACCCCAAAGCCCGGACCCAGCGAGAAGAAGATCTGAGCTGCTGCGTCAATCCACACCTTGAACACAACACGAGGTACACATTGGAGGTGGTAGAAACAAAAACATCAATTCCAGTGACAGCACAAAACAATCCACGTGACATGTTTCTGCTGTAACCAATCTTCGTGAGTTGGTAAAAAGTAACAAGACTCTTCTTACTGTCGTGCTGAGCAGTTTCTGCCAATCAGGTTTGAGATAAAAAACCACACCCCTCCAGGCCCCGGGTAAGGTGGCCCCACGGATGAGGAGCACCAGGAGCACCAGATACGGAAAGGTTGCCGTCACCCAGACCACCTAAAAGAGTCAATAAATAAATTTATCGACGGTGCTTTTGAAGAACACACTGTTCTTGTTTCGCTGTTAGTGCGTCAGGAAAGTGATGTCATCGCAGTGATCTTTTTCATTGGGTGAAATCGAATCAAGTGAAGCTGCTAAAAAAAGACTCTCAGGTCTGGTTTGCGGTCTCATTGGCTTAAGTGGCAAACCACAGACGATTTCTCTCGAACCGACTTGCCCGACAGCAAGGATGAATGAGAATGAGTGTGATGTATGATGACCATTTTTCTCAATCCAAGGATCTATCAAGCCATTCTAAGTGGCACAATCTGCCCATTAGCCGTACCGCCGAAAAGGTTCAGCTACCTTTCCAGATGTTTTGACTCCCTTCCAGATGCTGAAGTAGACGATGGTGAAGATGAAGAGCAAACAAAGGGCGAGCTGCCAGCTGACGGCGCCCAGCTGGTGCAGACCCGATGAGCGGTGCACCTGCAACACATGACGACTGGAGAAAGGAGCCGTTGGTGAGGATGTTGGGAGGTCGAGAAGTGAAAAGAAGATGCTCACAAAAGGGAAAGATGCAGTGCAGGGGCCAGAGAGGATGGCACACAGTCTACGAAGTTGCACGAAATTCACACCCCTGACCCCTCATTTGAAATCACATTGATCAAAAAAATGTACAAACTCTCAATAGATAGATAAAGAGAAACTGATGGCAAATAGGTTGATGTGGACAATGAGGATATCATCTAGTCACAAGTTATGCACACAAAACTAAAATGATGAAAGACGGACATGATTTATATTGACAACAGGAAATTTGGATGGCAGATTGACTTGCAGAGTTTGCAACTTTTTTGAACTGTTCTCAAGCAGCTTCAACAGATAACACAATCTGTCTTCAAAAATAGCTTGAAGGACATGAGACCGGCATGTTTGGTCACCAAAACAGAATGTCGTGAAGAAAAGAAAGGAAGGGAAATTTAAAATGATTGCCCACATGAAAGAACTTTTCATACAATCTTAGGCCTTGCCTACACGTAGCCGAGTTTTTAAAAATTGAATATTTCCCCTTCTCCGTGTAGGAAAAAAAAAATCCGTCCACACAGCCTTATTTATTAAGAAAAAATAAAAGCACCAAACTGCATAGGTGCATTTTTTTCAGCGCATTGACAAGCAATTCAAGATGACAAAACAGCAGGACAGGGATCAGCTGCTTCTTATTCAGCTTCTTCCACATGAACGGTCTCGCTCTAATAACAATAACGAATATTGAAATAAGACAGAAAGCAAATATTATGTACTCAAACACAACGCAATGTTGCTGGATGTTTTCTGTTTCTCTCTCTCCGTTACGCACACGGTACGCATGCACTTGTGACATGTTGTAACTGATGCTGGCGTGTGGGAGGAAGGGTGTGGAGGCACATTTCTGTCACTTTCCTAATGACTAATTATTATGTAGCCGGAAAATGTGAATCGTCAAAAAAAAAAAAAAAAAAAAAAAACCTTTTCTGTCACTTCACAAAACTGAGTGCACAGCTGGTAAGTGCGGTCCGTCACGGAACTGCATGACAGAATGACGGACGGAAGACAGTCAATCAGGCCACCACATACGTACACCTGCACAATCTAATGATGATGACGACGACGACGATGATGGTAATCCAATATGGCTGTAACGTTGATATACGCTCGTTGACAAAAACGGATGTTTGAGTTTGTGGTTCTAGTTTGGAGCGGTGTAATAATAGGCAGAAACATATTGGTGAGTTAATCTATTGGTTACCTGATTTAGCTACATTAACCAAGACATTTTAGGAACAGCTCGAAGTATGACGCTATTCTAGACCACTTTCAACCGTGTTGACCAAAATTGAGCGTGCATCTTTATAAAAGCAGGACTTCCTGAGATCACTTGTATTAAATATATAGTTTATAATTCCAGTCACTGATCTAAAATGAATGAAAATCTTTTTCACAGTATCACTTTTTACAATAAATCATCGATATTTTAGTATGCATACTTCAATTATCGTCGCAGCTCTTATCCTCCCCTACTCATCATCTCCCTCCCGTAAAGTCTCCCCCTCTGCTTTCTCATCCCACTTACATGCACTTACGTATAGAACTCCTCGGCAGGGGAGGTGGAGGAGTTGGACCACGAAACGTTGTAGTCGGTGGACATGTATCTGTTACAGTTGCCCGTGTTCCAGCTGTTGGTGCAGGTGGTCCAGGGAAGGGTGGAGCGGAACGATGACAACAGGTAGTACAAGGCCCACGCCATGATGGTGTTGTAATAGAAGGCGATGTAGAGGGCTATGATGCAGATAGCAAAGCCTATACCTGAATGAAGGAACCAAATAACCGTTAGGAAGAATACTTGACGACGCTAGGAAAGTTCCGGACGACACAGAGTGGACGTACGCAATAAGATGCCATTTCCGAGGGATTATTTTGGATATCACTCCTCCGACACAGATCAGTGACTCTTTCAAACTCCTGCTCAAGTGGTTGACATTTCCCAGCCTCAACAATTTACATACAAACCTATTTCCAAACACCTGGCATTTGGCATGGAAAGGCGACAATTTCCATAACACAGACAGAACATCACTGGAAATGTTCAAGCAAGACTCGGAGCTGCTGGACTTTAAATGAGTGAAAATGAAGTGAATCTGCTAAGATCTTCACATAGTGCTTCTTTCTCTTTTTTCACCCTTTCAGGCAGTTCTCTCATGTTGGCGCCCCCCCGCCCCCACCTCCAATTCAAGCAAATGCCCAACGAATTTTTCCATCCGCTCTTACCTTTGAAGATGGGGCAGATATGTTTCCAGATGGAGATGCAGCCATTGCGGTGAAACTGGCCGAGAGCCAGCTCCATGTAGAAGAGCGGCACACCTCCAAACACCGCCATTAACAGGTAGGGAAGTAAAAAGGCACCTGAGGTGAAGACATGGAGAACAAGGGTTACAGGGTTCCCACTCTTCCACTTGCTTTTTATTTATGGACCTTTTAAGGACTTTTGAGGGCTACTTTAGCCATTTTTAAGGACCTTTTCTCCATTCAGCAGGGGATTCACAGTGGATTTAATGCCCACTAAGCAATATGTGGGCTGAACAGAATGCCACATATCACTGAGATGGTGTTCAAATCACTGCTGCCAAAGGAAGGGCACATCTTTATTTTTAGGGGCAATCAGCGAACTCTTTATTTGACATACATGTCAAATTTTCATTTCCCTACCTGTATTACAGGTAGGAAAATGAAAAAAACTTGAATACATTCTCAAATAAAGTACACAAAAAATTTAAATTTAGAAAATATAAAACTTCAATTTTTTTTGAATAAAAATACATTTTTCAGGATTATTATGTATTTTAGAAGATTTCCCTGAAAATTATGGACAATTAAGAACATCATTTTACAACTTCTTTTTTGATGGGTTTTTATGAACTTTAAGGACCCGTGGGAACCCTGGGTTAGGGAATTGATGCTCTGAGGATGGACAGGGGAAGCAGAAACTAGTGACACAGGAAAAAAAAAGTCACTTTGAGTCATTAAAAAAAAAATTTCAAGTCAAATCTGTAACTTGCATTCCAAAAACATGCATGGTAGGAAATTGTAGAATCTAAATTGTATGAATTCAAGTGTGAGTGGTCCTTTGTCGATTGACTGGCGGTCAGTCAAGGGTGTAACCCGCCACTCGTCCGGAGTCAGTTGGGAAAAGATACAGCTCACCCACGACAAGCGTGACAGAAAATGTATCGATTGATGAAAAGGTAGCACAAGAAGAGTTCAAGACCACAAACCTAGACTTCAACTCACAGCTTGTCATATCACATCTCCCCTTTGCCTCCTATCTCATCATCGGTCTACCTCATGTGATCTTGTGCTTATTTGTTTGGCAGTGTTTTTTTTTTTTTTTTTTTTCCCCGTCCGGTCAAAGATAAGAGATGATTGAGCGCCTGCCCAAGCAACAGGTTATTAAGCAAGCAGGGCACTGAGGCCTTTTCAATAAAACAAAACCTCTCACAATTAATACTGGTACCTCTATCAAGTGTCTCCTTGAGCCCATCTTTGCTTCTCACACACACACACACACACACACACACACACACACACACACACACACACACACACAGACACACACACACACACACAGCACAGGAAATTGCATGGACTTTATTATTGCAGATTCAATAAAAGTGAAAATTAAGGCTGTTTTCTCTGCATAGTAAAGATTTTGTGACACAGACAGAATGGCTTCATTTTACTACCTAGATTGTGTAAATACAGTTCTTGAAACCTTTATTTGACCACCGATTTGTCTCAGGAACCATCCGGCATCGTGAAGTGATTGAATGCCGACACACGGAATTTGGCATCCAGAAATAATTAACTTTTTTTTTTTTTCAAAACATTACTTACTATTTGAGTGTATCTGCGGCATAAATCTTACACTGCATGGTGGTCTAATAAATGTGTGAAGTGCTGTAAATATTTTAATTTGGCAGACGAATCTAATTTCACACACGTGTCTTTGGCTGAAAAAAAGATGAGGAAAAAAAGACTCATTTTAGGAGTCTACAATGGACTCAGTGTGACTTAATGTGAATTTCTAAATTTTCATCTTAAATTTGCAACAAAACTAAACAAAAAAAACAAGTCAAAGATCAGATTTTGACACATCCTTCACACATCCACCACTCCAATTCATGCAACTCCTCACCTCCTCCGTTTTGGTAGCAGATGTAGGGGAAACGCCACACATTGCCCAGGTCCACTGCGTAGCCGATCACAGACAGCAAGAAGTCCACCTTCTTGCTCCAAGTTTCTCTGGGCCGGTCCAAGCTAGTTTGTTGGACCACCAGAGTCCTGAGACCTCCCAGCGTCGCGGCGGCCCCGGAGCTGCCTGCGGGCCCCGAGGTGGAACCTGCAGAGTAAGCTTCGGAAAGCCCGGCTCCCTCGTTGGAACTCTGAGGGCTGGATGTGGTGAAGCCATTGGACACCTGCTGGCCAGGTGTGGCACTCTTGGGTCCTCGCTTCGCAAGACCGTCAGCCAGCATCAGTCGACAGTTTTCGTCCTGCGTGCCCTTCTCCGCTTCCTTCACCTCTTCTCTCTGATTGCTTTGCTCGGCCTCGCTCTCCCGTTGGTCCTTTGTCAACAGGCTTGTCATCGTCAGATCTTTTGTCTCCATTGGGGTCACGTTGGTCGTCGTGTTTGGGTTTTGGTGAGGTAGTTACGGCTGGGAAGAGGTCGGTGAATGTAAGATGGTCTTGGTGTCCGATACGGTGCCCATTAGGGGAACAAATTTGTTGAATAAATAAGGGCGAGGAGAGAAAGGGAATGATTTAGAACTGTCTGTGTCCTTCTTGGACAGGGAAGGATGAGGAGATTGGAATTTCAAGAAAATAGACTTTGATGGGTTTGCGCGCCAAGAAAGATTAAGTGCAGACGAGAGAATTTTGGCTCCTCTCCGTTAACTGCTTGTTATCAATGGCCCAATGTTTTGGTGGTGGGGAGGAGGAAGGGGGAGGACATCAACTATTGACACAAGAACAATGATAGAAAAAATTAATGATTGAAACAACAGTGTACTCCAAGTTCAACTTTGAACGTTTACACTAGTTTGCCATTTTTAAAACTGCTGCAAAAAGACACATATAGATTTTTTCCACACATGAATCAAATTTCATGTGGAATGAATCATCAGTTGCATAACTTTTGATGCATATCTACCAAAAAGCTGACCATCAGAAGAGAATAAGAATAAAGGCCACACACACCAGCATATGCTCCTAAAACTTAATAAAAGTCAAAAAAGAATCTAGAGTTGAGATTTTGAACAACTTATTGAATGTATTCAAGAAATGTGGTATATATAATGAATATGAGTCATTTGATATAAAAAGTAGAAAGAATAATGATACATATATACAAACCGAAAGGTGTATCAATAGATAAGCATAGTACACAAAAGGGTAAAAGTATTTGATGAAATTTAGATTTCTTCTTTTTCTTTGGTATTGGAAATGATCAATATACATTATTGCTCAAAAAGGGGTAGGACTAGATAAGTTGTATACTTCTTCCTACTCCTTTGAACATATAACTGTGATATGTTTGTATTACTTACTTTTACTTTTATTTTCCTTTCATAATTTTTGTTTGCATTTTGTCATGTTATTGTATGTTTTATATATGTTCAATAAACAAACGGGAAAAAAAAAAAAAAGCACCCGACTGAATCACCACAATGTGTGTTCAACCAATGATGATTGTTTCGTGTGTGCACACTAAACAGGCACAGGCACAGAGGTTTTAAAAAAAACTAAACAAATTTAAGAAACAGAAAAAAAGCGCTCATTTAAATCAAACCAACAATGACTAAAATGATACAGATGTCCTCTCAATGTACTACAAGCAGTCATTTTAAAAAGTAAATGAACTCGGATTCAAATTCAATGTGCATCGTTGTCCTGTACGTTGTTGAAACCTAAACTGACTATATGGTAGTTAAAACAAAAGCGGACAATCAACAACTGATCGGATTTTGAAGGAGACAACTATTTATAGTGAGTCATGGATCAACAGAGTTATTTCAGGGTATCTTATTTCTATTAGTTAGATTCCATTCACATCCTTTTCATCACCTCCACCCCATGCTCCGTGACTCTGGGAGCGGTCATCCTGAGGTCAAAGCAGTTGAAAAACTCTTATTTTCTCAACAATGGCCTCATTTCAGCGAAAGACACGAAAAGCTTTGGCCACAATCAAGCATTTCAATGTGGAAAAAAAAAAGTATGCAAAGGAAACATGAATGCGATACGTAGCGACCTAAGTTACTGTACTTTCGTTGCCAGACTCATGATAAAATACAATCCAACAAATAGAAGTGGCGTTAACTATGAAAGCTAAACAACTTTCACTTGAGAAATGCCATCAATATTTAACTATAAGAAGCACAACCACGTTACCTGTTGAGTGAGTTTGTCAAAAGACGGCAGCGGCAAATAAAAACTGAGCAAAATCCTCGTCAAGGAAACAAACAGTGTAGACTAGCACATCAGGACAGCCAACTGCCCCTGGAGCTCTCGGAGCTCTCGAACCTCTCTTGTTTCTCTGGCTCCCCCCCTCCCTCACCAACTCGCACCGCGCACACACATGCAAAGAGACACACAGCAGCACTGCCACGCAGTGAAGATGCATGCACATAAACAATTGAGTTTGGATAAAGGTTGTGTATGCCGGGAGATAGTCAGATGTAGAATCTCGTGATGAAACATTAAGAACTGAATTCCGCACTCCGTTATTGTTACAAACATTCACAGGTGGTATTCCCTCACTCCCTTATCTTTTTTTCCTATGCTTTAATGTTAATAAGCTGATACATTGTCATCATGCCGTGCATGGAGGGATCCGATTATTTCATCTTTAAACATGTCATACTTAAGGACTTGTGCCTGCTTTCTGGACATTTTATCCTGCAATCTATGCAGGAAAAATTGGGGTATTCGCGTGCATGTGTTGATGGTCAAGTAGGGTGCCCTTGCGATTGGCTGGTGACAAGTGTGCTCACACATTCGATGGGAAGGAAAAAAAATGTTTTTTGACATCAAATCATGTGTGCTACAATTATTGGCAGCCTTGATGCTCATACTTTGTACAACCTCTTTTGCCAACAAAATGGCACTTAACCTTCTTGTACAATGTTTCAAAAGATGGGAGAAATACAGAAAGGGGGGTCTCTGACCATTCCTTTTTGTACAATCTCTCTGACCTTGGTCCTCTTCCCTGCGCTCTCCTCTTTCGCACACTTCACAGTTTTTCAATGGGGTTGAGGTCTGGGGACAGAAATGGCCACAGGAAGAGGTTGATTGTGTGTCTTGTGAACCATTTGCACAATTTTTCCGAATGAGAGCATACCTAAAGTAAAATTGAGGTTATTTTAAGACTTTTGGCACAATTTAAGCAGGGGTGCCAATAATGATGGAGGGCACTTTAGATCTCGGGAGTCAAATGGGCTCAATTTGTATTGGGGCCAAGTGAGACAATGCCCCACCAAATCCATCAGTCTGCATTTATTTGTTTCACTGTGCATTTTATATTCAGTACAGAGGAGTGATTCAATTGCGCAACATACTTGGTGCGGCTGGCAAATGCCAATATTTTTATCAACTTGGTATAAGACAGCTCCAGTATGAATGAACTCGATGACCTCTCCCTTGCGATAAGCAGTGGTGCAAATGCATGACATCTGCTACAACTTTAAATCACTTGCATATTTTTGATCGTCTGAGCGATTTGTAGGCCGCAGGCAGGCACTCGCGCTTCCCGTTTCTTTTTTATCATCGTTATCTTTTTTAGGGTTTTAAAACAAAAATTTGCCGGGATGTTTATTCTGGTAAAAGTGAACATATTTGAGGTGTACTGCGCATGACCCTTCAACATTTCCTGCAAAAACACCCAACCCAGTGCTTCTTCTTCTTCTGTCTTTTACATGAAGTGTGCTACATCTTAATGCATGTGTAAAAAATCTAAGCCCTCCTTAAATGAAGACTGGGCTTTGACTGCATGACTAAATATCTTTCACGCCACAGTTTGAGCGGAATGATTTCCAGTCTGCGGGTAGCTAAAAAAACAAAAAAACAAACAAAAAAAAAACTTTAATGCACACCATACGTTAGTTCGCACGACAAAAAGACATACAATTTTTGACATCAAACGCTCACACAATGCATGCTCTCACAGGCAAAATTCATTTGCACATCACATGGTTGTGTGGCAGTTATGCTTTAAATTAGAGTGTTCGGGACCACTGCGGTGAGCAGAATGAAGCCACATCCACACAAGGTGCCGGCTCAGCAAACTTTGGGCTCTACGCCAGCTCTCAGAGCACATGCAAACCAAACAACACCCTTTAGTCTGCCGTTGGCATGTAAAAATGATCCACTTATCAGAGTCTGGCAACTCTCAGCGGTTTTCCTGAATGGTCAACTTTTATTTTCTTCTCCATGTAATCTCTTCGCGAGTATGCTGACAGATAACAGAAAGGCAAGTCGGAGAGGAGGACAACGCCTAAAAGAAAAAGTTTAGAGGAAGGAAAATGGGGGAGTCTGACACTGGGGTCTGTGGCCAAGGCGTGATTTGATTAGAAACTGGATCCAGTTTCAGTAAAAGAAAAAAAACCCTCAAATGGTCTGTTGTCAAGACATGCTCAACCTGCTCGGTTGAGTACTACGGTAGATTTACGCAACTTATTACTAATGAGGAAAGGGGCGCTGCATATTTTGGAGTGGAAAAAGTCTTTAAATAAACATAACGTCACTGAGCTGTCATGTTTTGGGTACACCCAAAGATTTAATATAGTGTTGTAACCTTTGACCTATGAAGTATAAAACAGTCTTGAGAAACATGTGACAAAGATAGGTAGACGACCTACTGTCTCTCTCATCCTCATTTGTATGTCAAACCAATTCCTGGAAGTTGCATTGTAAATAGATCGGAAAACTCAAAAGTATTTCCTAGAAAGGTTTAATAGGTTGGAATTCAACGTTTACGAATGCATTCTTTCCCAAGCATGCTTTGTTGTCGTTACAAATAACACTTTTGACGAGTGTGGTAGGTTTGCGCCTCCGTAATGTGTTATTTTGTACAGAGAGGGGTGATATCGAGTTGGATTTATGGCTCTTGAAAAGGGAGCCGTTCATTTAGGAGCCGTTCATCTGAAAGAGCCGTTCAAATGACTGGCTCTTTTATGCATTTCTTGATAACATCAATGTAAAATGGAACTAAACACTGGGTTTAGTGATACATCTCAGTTCATGTTCTACTTTACTTGTTTAGGTGATGGGACATTAAAGATTGTATTCTAAAATAATGTGAGTTTTAATGACGTGGCCTGAATTCAAGTCAGAGTACGGTAGGTGGTGAATGTTGGAAATTGTGCCCAACATTGGTTCATTTTGACATTTGGAAAAGTCTGTCAATGTTTTATTCTCCTTTCAACATATAAAAATAATAATAACAATAATAAGAAGAATCAGGCAAATAAATTAACTTTTTCAGGCTTCAGGTGGTCTCTCTCCTTTCGTCTTGTTTTAGAGAAAACTCTCTCTGAAGTTGTAACAATGCTCGGCTTCTTCACCGTGAGCTTGCTAAGCCTCGGCTACACCCCTCCTACTACTCGCCAGTTCTCCAGCAGCTCCTCCTCTGCGCCTCTGCCCTGTTTTCCTCCAACAGTGATGTTGTTTACTCCTCCTCTCCTCCCGTTACTTGTGCATGTTTTAAATTACACTTGAAGTGTAGTCAATTTTTTTTTTTTTTTATTTTATTCTTTGCATTTCCTCCAGACTTCAAAGACCCACTTACAACAGAATGATGCTAACATGCACAGATGACGCTCCCTCCAGAAGTCAAGAGAAGGGCGGAGGCAGAGGGGAGAACAATATCCATCCTTCGCTTTGAAGAGCCGTTCAAAACACTTGATTTGTTCGTGAACTTCACGTCACAAGTACAATATAATTTCAGTGGTGTTTCTAGTTATGTATTCAAAAGTCGTTCCTTTTGCGATCAAATTCTCAAGTCAAGTCAAATTTACTGTGAAATGTGCTTTATATGCAACATACAGCACAGATGAAATTTCTTTCCTCTCAAGACCTGGTGACAGCCTTCGTAAATGAAGATAGTGCCGTCAGCAGTATTATAATATAATGGCCGACCAGTACCAATTAATTTGTTATTAGTACAGTATGAGACGTACAAAATTAATATGTGCATGGAGCAGCCCGACCCACTGGAAAATCGCCTGGGTGTCCATGTTACCCATTCCTGGCCTGCGCACCCACATTATGAAGAGCAAAAAGTAAAATATAATTCAGTCACATTATTTTCAAATGTAGTGATGTCATCCGTGCTTTATATTCTCTGAAAGCAAAAAATGTCCATGATTTTGCTGAATTTGTGTATTTCCTGTGTATACATGGCTATCACGAACTAGCTTGAGAAGGCTTATAACCGACTTGTGCTTTTTTTCAGTCTCTCTTCAAATGTCAAATGTGATGTTTTCAGGCACTTGTATGCACTCAAATTTTCTCAAGTCAAGTTAAAGTATATATTTAGAAAATATTTTCATGTTTCATATTGTGCTGTTTGAGCCATGGTCTTATCTTAGTAGAGGTGTTTGTGCATCTTGCCTTGCCCCTGGTAGGGTCATCCAGGGGCAAGGCATGGTTATACATTGCAATGTTGTCTCATCTGCATAGATGAAGGTGGCAGTTTAAAAAAACAAACAAAAAAGAAACCCTGTGTTCTTACCTTGGTGTGTTGAGCAGGACATAAAGCATGTGGTCTTGACACGTCCAAGACGTCGCCTTATTACTAACAGCCAGTCTCAACCCGATCCCATGCGCCCCCTTCCACATATATACGCCGAGCTTCTAATCCAAGACTTTCTGAGGCACATTTCTAAAGATGACCTAAAGGAAACAAGAGTGAACGTAAACATCAAGTAACACTTGTGGATCAGCAGGGTAGAACGTTGTAAAGTGTGTGCTGGCCACCGAGAGCTTATAGGTCATTACAAGTCACAGGTTGTCTGCCTCCTGGCCTAACTAACCCATTTACAGACACTTGCAACCGACTGGGCCAAAAGGCACCATGCCAAGTACAGGAGCACAATCAGTAGACGTGTGTGTGTGTGTGTGTGTGTGTGTGTGTGTGTGTGTGTGTGTGTGTGTGTGTGTGTGTTTGCACGCGCGTCGACCAAGGCAAATGTGACATAAAAAAGGGCTGCCAAGACGTTGATATCAAATAAAAGTGCGTTCACCTACCGGTCTCTCCTTCTCGTTCAAATCCAACCTTTGCAAATGTGTTGAACGTCATTCCAATCAGCATCAGCTGAAGCACGAGGTTAATCCTCATTGCAGTGCACACAAATCCACACACACACACACACACACACACACACACACACACACACACACACACACAACAAGAGAGGAAAGGGAACAATTGCAAGGGCAAAGAGAGACAAAATGTATTGAAAAATTACATTGGGTTTGGTTCAACAACGGACATTTTTTTGTCTACAACCACACTAGAAGTTGCATAAACTTGATTGCTGTAGGGATGACCGTCATCGTCCTTATTCGTGTAAGTGATGGCACTAAATTTCTTGAATTTCAATGAAAAGAAGAGCGTCCGTGCATGACGCGGTGGGAGGGGCATTTGCAATTAATACCCTACAGACGAGACAGTACTTACTTTGCGCCATACAATTGCGTAGCACTGATTATCCCGTCTTGAATGGCGCCTTTTGCGACAACTGCAAGTAGCAGGCCATTCTTTATTTTTACCTTTCGTATCTTGAAAATTTTTTTGTAACAAGAGGCAGTATTTTCCCGTTGAGACGTTTCGTAACTTGAAAATTTCATATGAAGAGACGTTTGTAAGTAGAGGTGCCACTGTAGTTATTTTGGCCTTGTTGTAATGGATAGGGCACAGCTGTGTAGAAAGATTATGCAAGGCTTAAAGACAATTTATACTGAATGTAGTGAACTCTTCAAATCCTAAAAAAATTTCAGAAGACACAAGCAGCCTGTTAAAAATTGATATTTATTTTTACCTAGAACACTGACATGTTTTCAAAGAAACATGGGAGACACAAGATTTAAAAAGTCTACACCCCCCCGTTTAAATGCCATTTTTTGTGACATAAGATATGAAGATCAAGACCTTTTTTCACCCACAATTGGTGACCTGTAACAAGTGCAACTCAAATGGTATTTGTTATGGCTTTCGTTCAACAATGATTTTCTTCTTGCCACCCTTCCACAAAGGTCAGATTTGCGGAGTGCATGATTTAATTGTTCGGTAGACAGATTAAGCCATCTGAGCTGTGGATTTCTGCAGCTCCTCCAGAGTGAGTGACAATGGGCCTCTTGGCTGCTTTTCTGATCAGTGCTCTCCTCGCTCGCTCTGACAGTTTCGGTGGACAATCATATGTAGGTAGGTTGGCAATTATGCCATACTTTTTCCACTTTTAAATGATGGATTGAATGATGCTCCTTGAGATGTTCAAAACTTTTGATTTTTTTAAATTTTACAACCCAACCTTACTTTTAACTTCTCTACAATTTTATCCTTAACCCGTCTCTACAGTTCCCTGATCTTCATAATGCTGTTTGTTCACTAGTGTTCTCTAAAACTACTGATGCCTTCACAGATGAATTCATAATAAGAATAAACATAGGTGGATTTTATTAATTAGGTGACTTCAGAAGGCAAGTGATTGCACTGGATTGTACTGAAGTAGAGTACACATGAATGTATATGGTCCACTGAAACCAAGGTTGGACTTTTTGGCCATCATTCCAAACATGAGGTTTGGTGTAAATGCAACTTACTCCTCCTCATCAAAAGAATAACTTACAATGAAGCAATGTGGTGACAGCCTCATGGTATGGGGCTGTTTTTCTTCAGCTGAAACTGGGGTCTAAAGGTGGAGGGAATTATGAACGCTTTCAAATACCAGACGATGCTTGCACAAAACCTTCCGGCTTCTGTTAGAAGGCAAAGATGTCAGAAAAGCTTTCTGGAGGGGTGGAACTTCAATTTGGGGTTAATCAGATGCACTGTGTGGTAAGATGTGCACACGTCATGTTCATTTTTACTTCTCCTCGAAAATAGAATCGATATACTGTATATTTTTTTTCCACTTGAGTTGACAGGTTATGGGTCACATTATCGGTGGAAATTATTTTGAAAAGACTTGGTCTTATCTTTTTCAATGTCTTAAAACCTTTTGATAGCCAATCCAGCCGAGGTAAAAGCAGAGGAGCGAGAGGGAGAAAAAGAAAACGAGTTATGGTTAAAAACATGGGTGTCCGCACTTAGGCCAGAGCCCCCATTGGGTCCCAAGCATCAAGTATAACGGGCTCTTGATTCATCACTTCCAGGACATCAGGAGAGACAAACTTTTTGTCTACTACCACCTCGTACACATACTCTGAGAACCAATCATCTGTCATGATGAGGTAACCTGCAGAGACACAGAAACAACAACATCAAAATAGGGGCCCTGGTTGATTAGCAGTTGGGCTTCTTCTCTGGATGTATCGACCCTTTTGTCAGATTTATTCTTTGGGAAGCTACTTTGGGTTTTATCAGAGAGGAAAATGGCTTCAACTTCACACACAAAAAAAAAAAAAAAAAAAAAACGGAAAATACTAGTGTCTCCTTTTAAGCTTGATGAACATCCCAATGTCAAGATGTGAGACCTTGACGGGAGACCTTAAGACCTGACGCGCCGTTCAGTTTGTTTTCTCTCATTTCCTCTTCCCTCTCATGCTCAGAGCAAAGAATCCCACACACAGTCGAGTTATCAAAGTGACGGCAAGTATATGGTAGTTCAAAACAATCTCTCAGAGTGGTCTGTGTGCGTGTGTGTGTGTGTGTTTCGTCCGAGTGTCCATCCAAATACGCAAATCATAGTTGGCGCGTTGCCTTGTTTGTCATTGTTGCAAACCAATGGGAACCCGCATGTTGGGTGGCGCAGGGCTGTGTGCGCTGCATGTCATTATTTATTTTTTAGGGAAAGGCCTACTGGCTACTCTCACAGCAGAGGGAGTACTGTGGCAGCCATCTTTGCTGACCTCACAACTAGAAGCATTTAAAGGAACAAACAGTCCGTGGAATGCAGAGTTGCTGTAACAACAGACTTAACACAGATCTGATCGGCAAATATTTTGGGCAGGTTTTCTCGACCTCATTTTACATGTAGTGAACGTTTATCAGCGTGTTGGGGAGAATTTATAGGGTTTAATAGTTTGGGGGTTTTTTTTTCGCTCAATGCATTTCGATAAGCGTCAATATTTATGATTTTTGCTATGGGACAGGCCGGTCCCAATTCCTCCGGGGGAATAAACAAGTTGTTTAAACAGATTGGATAGAGTGATCCATCTTCCAATCGGATGAGGAATTGTTGTTTTTTAATTTTTTTTTTAAACTGGCTGATCGGTTCCGAAATTTTGATTGTGTCATGTATTCTTGCCTTTCCTTATCTGCTGGTGTCTATGAACTTTCATGTTTTCCCCAAACGGTCACTGGTTTGCGGGTTCAGACAAATATTGTCGAAGTGTCCTCCTCTCGCTCGCTCTGTATATTGCGCTACACTGAACTGTATGTGTTTGTTGCCAGATGACGCATGTCTAAATTTGCAGTGGAATGCTGAGCTGAGATACAAAGAAGATGATGGGTCTCACAGGAACATAAACCACAGGGATGAAAGGATGAAGGAATAATAACAGCGCTAGTCAAGACTGGTGCATGGTGGTGGGCAGAAGCATTTGAAATGTTGGGCCTGTTCATTAAAAAAAAAAAAAAAAAAGGCATATCGACTTCTGCTCATGTTGCATCCTGTCTCTCGTTAGTAGTCCGGCCAATACTGCACACAAAGCTCGAGTTAATTAAGGATTTACAATCGGAAAAACAGCTTGTTGGGCGCTCTGAAAAAAGTCACATACAACATGTGTGAAAATTCACCACTAAGAAGCAGTGAGGAACATGTTGAAAGCTAGCCCCACCAGTTTTGCTTTAATTTAACTCAAATATGACGCTTTATTTTTTTTAAATACTAAAAGAGCTATATTATGTTTAAAGGCCAAAATAATGTTGCCCAAAAGTGGGGAACTGCATTAATTACCAAACAAAATGATTAGTGTATTTTTCATGCCGCTGATAGAGAGATGTTTACAAAATTTGTTGAAAGAATCAAGTATTTCGGGGTTAGGCGCTGCTATTTTAGTCAGCAACCAAGGTCAAATGGGCTACGCCGTTACCTCTAACATGTCAACATCATCACGTATGAACTGGGATCATTACTATTGAAATCAATGATTATTTTGTGGTCACTTTGAAGGAAGTCTTAATTTGTTTGAGGTGGCTAACGCAGTCAGCAATACTGGACTAGGAAAGAGTTTAAAGGAAATATTGCATATTAAAAAAAAAAATCATCATGAAACCAAAAAAGTAAGATGTTTGGTTACCTTTGTTCCCACGGTCATCTCCCCAGGAATTTTCCACCCTCCACTTTTCATAACCCTCTTTTCCATCCTGAGAGAATCAGAAAGAGAAGACAATGAAGAGATTACAGCTAAGCAGGGGAACACATGAGAGAAAGTGTCCTGACAGCTGGCGTCACTTAAAAGGGGACATTGACAGCACCATGAATCACGGCAGCCAATGATATTAAAACGAAAAACAAAAACAAAAAAAAAGACGAGAGCAAAGTTAGATGCAATAAACCACAGCCTTGTTCCACAGTTCCTTTTGGTCATGCCAAGCTGCATCCATGACAGACCACCTTCAAATCGGATAGCCTAACCCTCGCCTATGCATTGGTGTGCGCTTACCTTGTCCGTGACGGCGGTGAGGATCATCGCGTGGGTCATGAGAGAGTCTCCACATTGCAGGCGCTCTGCCTTAGTGAGGCTCTTTACTGAAACGCCAAACACCAGCTCATGGTTGAAGCTGCACATACACAAACGCAAATTGGAGAATGATGTCTAAGGAAGCTCACAACAAAATTCTTGCTGTGACTGGGCCATTGCCCTCTGCGCTAATAACAACCAAAAATAAGTAAAGACAGAAAACCCCCACATACTTGCAGAGCACCATGTGTAAATTCCCATGTTTGCAGATTTTTGGGGGGAGCGGGGGGGCTATTCTTTATAATTTGCTATAAAACTGTTAGAGAGTAGACAAACACAATGTTATCATGTATTAAAGTTTCATTTTGTGTCATGCTTGATTGACCTCAAAACGCGTGTGTGTTCAGACATCTTGTACACAATGGAACACAGAGGATCAGGGGTCAATTCGAGGTGAACGAGAGAATGGTATCTGACCACATCTCAGAAAGAAAAATTTAACTCTCATTAGTAGACACACTGGCGTCTGTTAACTGACAACTTGGAAAGGAAGATTTAACTTTGGGTAAAAGGGAGTACTCGGTACTCCCATCATGAGAAAGGGTCATTAGCCAGGTTACGGATGTATCAGTTCCTGCGTTCGGGCCTTTGTTGAATTGTCTGAGCAAACATATCTGACAAAAACTCATCTAAACAGCATTCTTAAATTGGGTCAAAGAGATAAAATTATTACTTTGCCGCTTTTGTGGAATCCTGGTGCCAAGGAACCATGAGCTTCATTTAGACAAAAGTAGTGCTTTGCTATCATCTTGTGGTATTGAAAGGGAATTCCAAACCTTTTTAAGGGGATGTCATTTACTTGCGGGTTTTTGCTCGTCGCAGCAGAGCTTGATACCAATCTCTCGTAAACCGAGGACTCCGCGTATTTACTGTTAAACTAATTAATAAATAGCTGTTTGTGCTCAATCCCGGAATACGATTCAGTTTATTAGAGTGAGGGGTCAAGGAGGTTCACACTGCACACAAATTCAGAGACGATTCTGTTTCTCTCCACTTTTCGACTCCGACTTCCCAAATGTTATTAACAGCCACAGAAATGATAGCTGCTCTTCTGCGTCAGAAATGTAGCACCACGTTTGGCTCAGTTCAGTGGTCGGATTTGAGCACGGCGCCAGTAACTCAGACAAATGGCGGTGCACCTGAAGGGCAAGGATCAGAATTGTTCTGTTGTGGGAAGACAAATTGCCTCATGCCGGAAGAAGAGGTCTGGTCTTGCTGTGCAAAGCTGCTATAATGACGTCGTACAAACACCACTGTGATGTAACATCGTCATACTGAAGCGGGCTGGTTTACTGTTGGATCCGATTTTCGTGTTATTACATGACTCTTGATCTTGACTTCGTTCAACTGTCGTAACAATAAAGTGATTCATTTCAGTATTTTCAGTTTATCTGCACTCAGCACCTACACCCAAAAAAAAAAAAAAAAAAAACCTGATGTAGGGCTAACTATTTCCGATATGCAACACTTTGAAGCACAGGACATTAAAACTCACACATTCATGTCGTTAATGCCCATCTTGCCGTGGAAATGTTTGTCAACGTCACAGCCAAACCACACAGCCTAAAAGAGAAACGTGTTCACGTGTTTAAAACGAGACAATTCATGTGCAGACCGTGGCTCATTTCAACTTACTTCTCCGTCCTTTATGGATTCGGCAGCAGCCTTTTTGAGAAGCTGGATGGGCTGATTGTTGTAGACTGTCTGGCGACCTCGAACCATGTTACCTAGGTACTCCACACTATACAGCTTCCCGTAAGGGTTTTGGGGTCGGGGGTCGTTCACAAGGCAGATCTAACGTCAACAACAAATTGAAATTAGAGAGGGAATAGCTCCCAAAATTAGTGACAAAAAAAAAAAAAAAAAAAAAAAAACAGTCGAAGCATTATTGTCCCACATACTTTGTCCTGCATGTTGTAGAGGGGTTTGACGTGCTCCCTGTAAAACTCTTGGGGGGTTAGGGGTCCCAAGCGATGGAAGTTCTTTTCCTTGTCTCTGTACTCCCACGAGATGGTCTCAGGCGGGCTGCCGAGACAAATGCTAACCACCCGGAACACCTTCACGGGAAACACACAGTAGGGCCATCGTTTTACCAACAACATCTCATTGCAGTATTGTGTGACGCATGCCTGTGTGCTCAAGTAGCTCAGCAGGAGGATGTTTTGGATTATATTTTAATCAGCACAAAGCTGAACATCTCCAACCTGGGGTTTGGCCCCACAAATACAATACTCATCAACCATCACTGCTACTAAATCCCGCCCAGTTTAGCTCCTCTTTCCTCCCTGCAGCTATTTCTCTCATTTCCCTTTTTGTACCCCACAACCTTTCTTCATGTGCATTTTCTTTCTGTGTAAAAGAATGATTTCCTGTGGGCTAAACTGGCCTGTTTGGATTAGGCCGACTGTTAACCCTTCTAACCTCTGCTGAAGCTCTCAGGAATTTCCCCTCATGGTTTGCACCTCTCCCGTCCTGTTTTTCTCGTCCCCCAAGACTGAACATATGCAACTGACATCCTGAATGATAAAAAGGGGCTGAACAATTAAGAGGCCATGCGGCATTTCCTCAATGGGAGAAAGTATAAAGCAATGCTGTGAAAACAGTGGTATCTTGATTTAGGAATGCCTCAAACCTACGGGTTGTTGACAGACAACCCTTTAGCCCGGACAATTTGTCTGTCTTGCGTTGCATGCGCAATTTGGAGTTTTGTCTGCCACTATCCAACTAAGTGCCGGATGGTGGCAGCAAACATCATGTCAGGCAGCAGTATATGTATGTGTGTGTGTATATATATATATATATATATATATATATATATATAGGCACCCATGTTTGATGGTGTGAAACATGGGTGCCCATTGATGCAAATAAATAACGACCAACACACACAAGCACGCAAGCACACACGAGAAGGTTTTGAAACCAAACAAGCGATCCTTGAATAACATCTAAACTATGAAAACACAAAGCATGGCGAAATAAAGGCTCAAAAACTACTGACGAGAAATGCAAAATGCGCACAGTACTGATGTTACGTACTTATGTTAACGTTTTTAATGATACACATCAAATGTGCCTGTTCTACATGGAAATTCTCCATTGCAGCTGGCCTTGAGTGAAGAGCGTTTCACAAAACAAACCACTTCCAGGTGGACAAACAAACACTGACTACTATCAGGCCCACCTCGACAGATATGCAACATTGTCTCCAGTTTTTGCACTTTTGCAAAAAAGTGTACATGCTTGATTAAAAACATTGAGTACAAATGTTTTTGACCAGTGTAACTGTTTTATTGAAGGAGCTTTTAAGAGTGACCTGTAGACTGCCGATGACACTATTCTCGGGCCACTATTATTTAACAGCCCCCTCTTCTGGTTAACATGAAACATTGCTGTGGTGAAACTCGGCTCACTGAGGCGTTCTATTCACACTCTATGCAAGGTCTGCATGGTCATTTGTTTTGACCTAACAGGAAGATCTGTAGTAGTTAACCATCCGGTCATCCAGTCTTTTGTGCGCTTACTCTGTTCACAGTTACAGTAAGGCAGGAGTCGATGCCAGCTGACTGAGGGTGTAGGGTAGAACTACACATTATTTAGGGTTCTAATGGAAAACAACAGCAACTTTTTTTGTAAATAATGCATGCATAACTAATGGGTATTTACTAATAGATCCAAGATTTTACGATAAATCCAAACGATACGGTGATCGCTTCTTACACAAATCAAAACAATGGAAAGTCAATTGTCGTGAACATGGCTAAAAAGCAAGACTTAATATTAATTTAAGCCTCATCAACATACATGAGAGAAATTGTATCTTAAATGGAAAATGAGAGGATTGACATTGATGCACTTCACTTAGAAAATCAGTCTGGTAGCCACACATGCCATTTACTTCCTGACAGGAAAACAGCTAGAAAGGGTCGCATATGTATACAACACTTTGAAATAAGGCTGGATATTGGCCAGAGATGATGCCTGGTATCGGTACTTACTAATCTGTCAGTCATTCAGTCATTTGTCTGCCATTCGCCCTGTACCTGAAAGAGTCCTGCAACTATTCTGCAGTCTGTAACCTCAACCTTCTGAAATTGTATTCTAAAATAAACGTTTGACAAAAGTATGCAGCGATCAAAAGAGACATAGTAGATACCTCCTCTATCATGGTGTGGATGGCGTCGGAGATTTCCGATTGAGTTGTGTCACTGTCCACCATGTTCCTCAGTTTGAAGCAGTATTCTCTAAGCTGTAAAACACAATTGGACGTGCAAAAAAAAAAAAAAAAGTATGAGCTTTCAAGGGGAATTTTTGGGTGTCTTAAACTGAATACATGCACACCTTATGATTGAGAATGCCATTCATTCTGCGGGAGGCCTCTGAACTGTGTGCCTCTGGGAAGCATTTCTTTGGAATGACACCATACTTTTCTGGATAAGACAAAAATTGAACAATGGTTACGTTCGCACATTTTAGTACAGCCGTGTGATTGACCCCTCTGGGAGTGAAGAGGAAAGACAGGTATGAAGAATGATCTGATCAGAAGGACAACACAGACTTGAAGATTTGGAGACAAGGCTAGAGAGGCCAGATTAAGCTCGGACAATATATAAATCGGTAAACGTATGCTGGCAAGTGAGCCATCAGGTGGGTGGCAAAGATGAAGGCCGAAGAGGAAATTTCGATATGGTGAGTGAAGACATACGGGTAGCTGGAGTTAGAACAGAAGATGATTTGCTGCTGCTCCTAGTGAAGATGGGAAAGCATACAGTCGTGTGACTCCAACCTAAATAAATTTCACGTTTCACGGTTACCTCATGACTGTAATAATCAAAGCAGAAGAATTCGCTGGCCATATCTATCATGTGCCATTCATCAATGCAATTTGTGTTGTGTAACTGCGGGTAATAATTAATTACTTTCAGGCCAGCTACTAGGACTAAGAATAAAAGTCGACCAGGTGGGCTCCAAAAAATGCTCGACGCATTTTTTTCTCCCCCAGGGGGCACTTTTGAGCCACATTGTACTTCATTCACGCACACATTTATAGGCCACATTAGTCCATTGCACACATTTGAAACCAATCATGACCAATGTCACAGTGTATTGGTACCCTCTTTTGGTGGACATTTGACACTGGAGTCAGTGAGTTTTTCCACAGGACACATCTTGTAATGTCGCCAGAGTAATTTTATGTTTGGCAAGTTTGACACGAGATGCCCTTCCCAATGTAGCCAACACATTTTAACAACAGGCAGTGCCTTGGTATTACGGTCTAATATAGACAATAAGATGTTAGTATCATGACTGAGATTTGAACCGCCGCCCTCTGTGTCAAAGATGGAAATCCACCACTTTGCTGAGCTGCAAGTTAACATGTTATTAATCTACCATTGCTAGTGGGATGGGGGATAGGGGGATCAAATTCATCGAGTCATCCATGGAATAAATCAACACAATAATCGATTATAAAAAGTTTTGTTTGTGACAGCGCTGCCAGCTACTTTTCTTCATAAACAAGGATAAGATGCCAGTCTATGAAGAATAGCGTTTATTTGGGTAAAATTTCTACCAGGTTGTTTATTTCGTCTATTTATATTATGCAATTTTAGAAATATTTTTGATGACTCTGTGTTGCCGAATACCATGGCAAAATTACAAGTGACACCACCCATACAATTTCACCAAAAGTAACTTCATTCTGTGACTATGTAAACTACAACTAACCAATGAGATTGACCAACATATCCCACTGTCCCCCGTCATTGGCTGGATTGGAGAGGATAAATTGTAGCAGGCGTCCATCCATTGGCTCCTTCTTCTGTGCCGTCTCCACATAGGCATGGAGGAAGAAGTAACACCGCTCAATCTGCCAAGAAAGAACAGACGAAAGACATTTTTTTAAAAGTGTGCTAATAGAATAGGCGAAAATGTAATAGGTGCACGATCCTTTCAGAATGTGGAGAAAATGAAAATGTATGCACCTCAAAATCTCACCTTATCCCAGAAGAAGAGATAGGACTGACTAAATTCAAACTCCTCTATGTTAAACTTCTTCATGAAGGGAAGCCGCATGACATTGAGACATGAAAAGATCCAACATCTTCCTGATGAGAACAAAACATACAGACATATTTGTTTGGTTATGATGAAACCACAAGTCCAATGATCAGAGATTATACTGATCCACACATGTGAGCTACAAGGTCTGAATAAAAAAAATCTTAAATTATACATTGTAATATTTATTGCGAAAATAAAATAGCGAATTCATGAAAAAAGTCACATGACAAATTTAAATGTTCACATATCATGAAATTAACACACGGCATTCAGATCAGTGAGCGCTAAGAGATTCTTAACGTGTCTAAGGCTAAGTTCTGGCTGCAGTCAAATCCGACACAGATCGGTTGGTGGCATCCTCCAAAAACACGGGATCCACATCTCTATCGCGGCTTCTCAGTACACAGGATGGTTCAGTCAACACTATCCAAACATGAATCATAAAACATAATTGGAACATCTGTTATGCGTTCAACTTAGGGGTGAGTACACAACTTTTGTTGTCATACAACAGTGAAAAACATTCTTTTAAAAGCTGTATGAGTGTTAAAAAGCATGATGCAAGAAGTACACTCAGCTTTAGCAACCCTTGTGCTCCGGATGATGTGTGCCAACAAAGATAAGGGGGGAAATATACAACTTCATGGGCTTAAGTTTTATGATAGACCTTAATGCTTTTCTCACACTCATGATAATAAAAAATGTTGCAAAACATTTCATGCTCAGTTAAAAAAACTCTAACACAGGCCATAATGGTTTGACCTGGAAAGGACTACTGCAATTTCCCTTATCTCAAGCTATCCATGTGACTAAAACCCAGATAAGAATAGAATGGAATAGAATAACTACCTGAATTTTTTTGGTTAGTGACGGGCTTGCCCTCTGTGGGGATAGCATGCTGAAAGATGTGTACAGTATCCTGCACAGTCTTCCGGTGTAGGCAAACTTCCAGTGGGTCGATGCACGTTGACACATTCTGGGCTAACAAGTAGCGAGGCTCTGCCTGCAGGCGCTCTACAAAGGTGGCAACCTTCTCTTGACTGAGACCTGGAGTAGCAACAAGAGGAGAGGATAAAGTAAAAGAGCAAAATACTAAAATGGGGTTAAACAAGACATTATTTTGGGGAGGGTGGCTACAGTGCAGCAATGCTGTATAATTAGGGGGAGATATTTCTCGATCTTCAAAAACCCCTTTGTCATCTGAAGACTTAAGGGACTACAACAGTATAATTGTAGTGCAATGGTAGTGTAGGAGGTTGTATAAGACTTAAAGTGCTGAGGGGCTCTATGTTGGCGAACATCTAGATAGGCAATAAAAAATGGAGGATGGTTGCACAAATACACATTGTGCGAAAAAATTTAACATGGGAGGGAAGACTGACTAGTCGTGCGTGTTCCCATGGTTATGTCCCCTTGTCAGCTCCATTCTGTTAATGACCATTAACTAAATGTGAAACACAATCGTGACTGATACACTATCACTCGCCATCTTATAATCAACAAAAACAACATGTGAGCTTAGTAACTGACATCCAAGTTGTTTGCAATGGCAAGAGGCCAAGCACAGGGCTGCAGAGTGACTTGCAGCTTTCACAAATACAGATTTTGCCACTGCTTCAATATTTGATGGAAATTTTACATAGCAGATTGGATGAAAGGGATGTATTTTCTGAATTTATTGACTATTTATTAATGCCTCGTACCATCAGCTCACCTAATGTGGACAAGCACTGTGGACAAGAGATGTAACCCCTACATACTGGGATCTCAGCATTCGTGCAGGTTGAAACAAGGCTGTGCTCATGCTCAGTATGAAAAATATACCTGTGAGCGAGGGTAACGCCACATGACTTAGTAAAGGGCCCGTAAACGACACAAACTTCTTAAGTAAGTCGAAATGGATTTTAAAAGGCGCCTTACTGAAACAGCCATTTCAATTAGTTTACTGGGCTAAATCAGCAACAACAATGCATGACTACAGTCCGGCACGTCTGAGGTACATAATCAGGAAACCCGAAATAATCATTTCACATAGATTGACAACTCCACGAGCAACCAAAAGCAAGCTAATTTCAACAGCTATTGTCAATCATCCCATCTATTTTAATGGGTGGTGGATTGTATAATAATATATTCACCTAATCAATACAAAGCTGTGAATTTAACTGAGACAAACCCACCGTGTTTGATAGGCAAGCTAGCTCGTAGAATGCTAACTTAGCCGATTAGCTTCCCGAGTTGTCATGCTTCAACTGTCAAGCATAGAAACATCGACACGCAAACGCGAGAAAGCAGGGGAAAAAAAACCTACCGGCTTCCATAACGTCTTGGACCTTGAAGAGTGTTGTTGGGTCGTTCGCGATTTAAAAAAAAACAACTACAAAAAAAAATCACTGGTTCTTTGTTTCAATCAGACGCAGTCAGTATGTCAACGAGAAGGCAGGGTGCGCTCGTTTATCACCCCGCTTCGTATTCCATGTCATAGAGCTGGGCGGAGTTTAAGTAGTAAAGGTTTGAGCTCTTTGATACTCGCCACATCCTGACACGCCGTGTGGTTACTGCCATTCTGTCAAAACCTGTCAGTCCAGCCTGGGCTTTTGGTAAAATAAATCAACGGTAATAAAAGATTTGCCCTTTGTCATAGAGGCGTTGTTTTCTGCACACATACCTTCAAAGTTGTCTTACCTGACATGGTAGCTGGGTGTAAAATGTCACCTGGGTTGAAACAAAATATAACACTATAAGTGGTAAGCTACCAGCTAAAGCTGCAACTAGTTACCAAGCCAAGTACATTAATTAACACGGTATCTGTTAGCATTAGGAATAATGGAAATGGCACCGTGAAGTTTTACAGGAAATCAACTCTGTGAAAAAAATCCAGTGGTACCTTGAGGTTATTCCATGATTACGTGTTTATCTCGTTATTTGTGCTATATATCAGGTTTAACTTTTTGTATCCATGAGTGCACGTGACCTTACCAAAATATTCGTAAAACTTTGTCTTTTCCGACCACTCCTTTCAATTGTTACCGCACAGCTAGGAAAACTAACAAAACAGCATGTAGCCGTACTCATTGTCTGTCCACACCTTTGGTTGTTGTTTATTTATTTTTTGTCTGAGCCAGTCCTCCATATCGTAGTATAGTGCATACCGCTGTACCTTTTGTTGAACTCTGCCATAGGTTTCGGCTTTACAGAACTGTGTTCTCTCTGCGGTGTGTTCAAAAGGACTCTCGATTAGGTTGCATCAGTGTGAGTAATGTACTGTAATGGCGCTATATTGAGGCTAGGGGGTGCTACAGCGCCGTCAGAAATCTGTGGAGTCTCCGTCCACACTCCACCCTCGAAATGTATTCATGCATTTATTAACATATTTACATTTGAAAAACACAAAACAAAGTTCAGAACCAACCACCCTGTTCGAATACAATTCCTGTTCCCATGTTTGTTCGGCAGTTATACTTAGTGTGTGTTATTGAGGTCAGGGAGGGGCGGGGTCAGTCTCTCAGTTACTTGGACATGAGGTTAGCGTTCGTTCACGTTCTCACGTATTTGCAAACATGTTTGAATGCATCATCGATATATTCGAACGTACTTTGCAAATACGTTCAACGAGTTTGCCAGGCAAAAATGCTTCCTCTATATTGGAAGTTCGGCAATTAAATGGGCATCAAGAGTGCCTCCAGTTTTTGATAATACGATAATGGCATAACTGGGTGAACACCAGATGTGAGCACATTGACTGTTAACAGTGTGAATAAATTCAATGAATCCCAAAAGACCAGTAGGCTCCATGGTGCATACTGCCTCCTGCACCTAGTTGTATAGCCTTACGCTCATCCATGACTGTGGTTGAGCAACAAAATGAATGAATGAATAATCTTCACTAAAGATTTGGGGGGCTGTTTTGTTTGTTTGACATTCAATCTAATCTAATGTTAAAATGGAAAAATGACAAATGCAAAACTCACACAAAATACATTTTATTTGTTGAATAAATTTCCAGCAGCACATTACGTAATGAAATATACATTTACATCTTTAGACAGCTTTTAAATTCATATATCTTCTCCCATCATGTCATTTCATTTGCTTTTGTACCCTTCCTTTATTTTTTTTACAATGCTCAAAAAATATCTTTGAATAAATTAAGTAATTTAACAGTGAAAAGGATGCAAGGCATTAAGGCTGCTGCAAATTCAATGACAAATACGATTCTAACTTGTATCCTTATTTGTGCCTATTCTCTTTTCTCCAGATAATCATTAAACATCCATTTCCCCCTCAGTTGATAAATAAAAATGATTTCTAAAAAAATTATTCTGTCAAAGGAACGTTTCTCCACAGCAAGAATTACAACAATCCTAGGCAGTATGGATATTCATCTTTTTCATCACTCCCTTTTGTCAAATTGAGACGATCATGCCGTATTTTAAACTAGTCTTGCCTTTCCTTTTCATGTATGCAACTACTGTACCTTTGCATTGCACATCTAATGGACGGCATACAAAAAGCAGCAACAAAAATTTCAACTTCACATTCAGTGTGTTTTTGCCAGAACTGGTTTAAAGGTAATTCAGTCTTTTTCAAGTCATCAAGTCATGACAAGAAAATATTTATCATACACCGAGTATACACGTAGGGTGATCTAGCAAGCCTCTCTAGGAGGTGAAATGTTTTTGTCTCGCATACTGAAGTACAAAAGTCTGTTTAGAAAAAAAACAAAAAACAAAAAAAAACAATGTGCGGTAATTTTACCCTGACACGAAATGAAAGTAATACACCGCTAAAGTATAAGAAAAAAATAAAATCTTGGTGAAATATTCATGCAGTACCATGTACTGCACATCATTTTTCAGCAAAACAAGCACATCAAATCGGGAATTTGACATCCTGACAAAAACAGAAATACTATTACATGGGTTGACTGAATTCCAGCAGCATTCATAGTGCAGCACCATGAAGGTAACAAAAGATTACGCCAAACAAAAGAACAATTTTCATACACACGACAAACTCTAATCCAACACTAATATACGTTAGACTTCCAATACTTCACAAGTAGTATGGTTTTACTTTAACAGGATCTGTTTCCAGACCATTTACAGACGCCTTAACTTCCTAACTGGCCAGCAGCTGACAAGCTAAAAAGTAAAACCTTTACTAAGCCTTTAACTCATGTTCCCATTAAACCTGGGTACATTCTTCAGCTAACACAGACTACAACTTGTTAAAAGCTTTGGAGAGTCGAGCTCACCGCAACACTCACAGTATCAAAGCCTGGTCAGGGTTTGTTAATGATATGAACATTTTACCACAAAAATGCGCGAGCATCTGTAAAACATGAACTATTTTCTGTCCACCAAAAGTCTGTCAAAAAGAACCCCAACAATACCGTTCTGCACTATACACTCACGGTATTGAGAGTTATTTTAAGGGACTCTGGTGCTCTTGCGAGTCTTGCCGGATCACCCGTGGCTTAGCGACGTGGTTCTACAATGATTTGGTTTTGAAATTGTTGATTTGCACAGCTCCATTCAACCCACGTGGGCCCTCTCAAGGCTGGTCATCAAGTTACTCTGACTGAAAGAGAAATGTAGAGACATTGATCTATCAATGGTTGACAGAATGATTGACATTATGTTAACAGTTTGAGAAATACTGAATACAGAAAAATGGAATTTGACTTGATCAAAACAGTATACGATAGCACTGAGACATTTTAAAGAATAATTTAGGTAATTTCACATATTGGTTCAAACAATATATTGCACACGTTAAAAAAATAATGGCTTTGATGGCCTGGGGAAGAGGCTGTTTTTTAGTGTTTTTGTTCTACATTTGATAGTTTGATATCTCTTTCCAGAGGGGAATGAGAGAATTGGGAATGTCATGGTGGATCACAGCTGATGGTTTTGGCCTTTCTTTCTGTCTGTCGGCAAAGTAGATTTCCCAGCTGTCTTTGGGCAGTAGGCGGCGTACACCCTGAACTGGTTGCCAGCCAATTGCATGGCACACAGATGAACAACCATGCGCGCTCAGACTCACCTTGGGACAATTTTGAGAGTTCAATCAGCCTGCCATGCATGTTTTTAGAATGTGGGAGGAAACTGGAGTACCCGGAGAATACCCACGCAGGCACGTGGAGAACATGCAAACTCCACGCAGGAAGGTCGGAGCCGAAATCGAATCCTGCACCTCCGCACTGTGAGACCGACGCACGAACCAGTCGACCACCGGGCCGGCCCCTTATTAGATAATTTAAGAATTTCTTGACATATCTTCCAAAACTTCCAATTTGCAATTGTCATAACAGTTTGGGAATGAACCTGTTCTGTTCCATCACAAATACACCCCAATGCACAAATCAAGGTCCATAGATTCATAAAGGAGGACGAACTTGCACAGTGCCCTGATTTCAGTGCCTTCAATTACCTCATATTGGGCCAACTCATTGTTGCCACCAACATGGCGAAGTGTCTGACTGCGATCGTCCATCAGTGTAAAAGGTCAACCACTTCACGACTGTTCACACTAGTACATATTATAGTCTAATATATCCTCATAAACCTTTTATCCATTCATTTTTTTATAAATACTTATCATATGAAGGAAAAATAAAATCCTTACATTTGTGGATGAGTGGCTGATTTTGTCAAATTTGAACTTCAAGTTAGACCTCGGTGATGTCTTATTCTTCCCATCTGGAGAGAGAGTAAAAGGAAGAATGAACAACACATGTTCAAGAGGCTGAGAGCGGTTACAATTAGAGCAGTGTATACCTGTGGAACTGCGGGACATGATGATGGGAGTTCCTGAGACGGGACTGTCGATGCTGATTGAAGGGCTGAAGGCAGAGGATGATGCTATGGAGGGATGACTGGCCTGGCGGGAGAAGGATAAAGAATGAAGGAAACTGTATAGAAGAAAAATACCTAAAGATAAAAGAATTAAAAAAGTGGAGGTTGATCTCTGGCCAGGAATCCTGTTGCGTGACTTGAGAAAAAAACAGAAAACTAGATAAGATTTTAAATTTATTTCCTAAAGGCAAAATTCCCCTGAGGACAGTGTTGCGGTAAAGTTGCATCCCATACATAAATAACCATGTACCATGTAACCAGTGGAAGCACAAGACGAATCTGTGCTGAGGACCATACTCACTATCTCTAGGTCTTCCAAAGCTTCTGGATCTCCTGTAATGCTGCTGAAACTGCTGGTGCTTGATGAAGACCGAGAGATGTTCGGCTTGCTGCCCGTGTTGTCCTTCAGTTTAATGAAAGGCCTGGAAGAGGAAAGATGTTAGTTTACCATGTGATAGGTAAATTATATTAAAAACAACATCTATTTTCTACAGCGCTTGTCGTCAGTTCTGTCACGGGAGCCTGTTTCACCTTTCTTTGTTAGGGCAGATCTCAGGTGAGCTGGGGTTGGATAATGTCTCCGACCTGACTTCCTGGGACAGTGGGCAG